GAGAGATTGGGAGCATGGGCGGGGGAAAAGGTCTAAGTTCTAGTTTTGAGGAATGCGTAGCCAATCAACTTGCAGCTTTTGTGGAACAGCTACATTGATTGGCTACATATTTCGCGGAATTAGAAACTTGGACCAAGTACTAGCGTCATAGACACACGCCTTAATTCGCCTGAACAGATACAGAGTTTCTAAATTTCTAAACAGTTGCTATTCTTTTCATCGGTGTTTTATTATTAACTCGATTGTTTTTTCCAATAAAATCTTTAGTTTGATTTTTTAAGAAATATAACTTTTTTTAATCAAAAACTAATGCTAAAGCAACTAGTGTGTATAAATATCCGCTGTTTTATTTGGCGCAATTTGTTGATATCATTACTTTTGTAGAGAAGATAGTTTTGTAGAGAAGATATTTTTGTAGAGACGATATTTTTGTACAGATTTTTGTGGCGACACTATTTTTGTAAAGAAGATGCTTTTGAAGTAAAGATATTTTTGTAGAGATTATACTTTTGCAAAAAAGATAGAGTAACAAAAAAATTCGGTTGAATTGGAGCTTAGACTTAGTGCTTTTTTTATCTTTTTTTAAAAAGGTAAGTTTTTTAGGTATCAATTACGCCAACTGGCGTTGATTCCAGCACATCAGGGTCGAGTAGGTCTTCTCCAGGTCCGGAAGAGGAGATGCCGGATCACGGGGCGGCTAGCGAGGAGGAACAGAGGTGGACGGCCCCGATGGATGCCCTCCGGCCCCAGTCGAGTGGAAGGAACCCAGTGGCGCCGATCCCGCACCCATAGACGGAGATGAAGGACGACTGACGTCAGGGGGACGCCCCGACGCAGTCACTACCAAGGGACCGCTCTCGCCGCGGCCGAGCGACCAGCGAGTCCCGATTCAGGGGCGGAATACGCCGGACGGATGCTCCACGGCCCGGCCAGCCGGGGGCAATGCCGACCGGAGAAAAGCGGCCCGAATTACAGGGCCCTCCAGGACCGTCTAAGAGAGGCGAGGATGGGATGACGTCCGCTGGGGGTAGTCCCGGGAGAGGGAGGAACCGGCATGAGGTCCGATTGCCTCCCCCGGAGCAGAGACTGTGGTGCGAGTTCCACACTCACCTCCAATCCTTTCTCTTCTATATACTTTTCTAACCCTTTTATCATGCCTTTTAACCCTCCCTCATTCTCCGCCACAACCGCCACATCATCTACATACGCCAACGACCATATCTTCCTTCCCCCTATCTTTATTCCCCCCTTCCCTCCTTTTCCAGTACTTCATCCATGTCCGCCAACAGCATCGTGAACAAGCATGGACTTAATCATGAAGAATAGAGATAAGGAGACTCAACTAATGCTTTCGAGAATGAGACCAAAACCTGGTTTCTGTGGTAGTTCAAAATATGTACACCGGCGGCGCTACGGTAGACAAACTATTGCTAAACAGAAGTCGGGAGGGGATAAATCATGGTACACTAATATACACACTCACACCGGGTCTACTAACACACACTCATACTGTGTACGTGAGAACGCTGTCGTGGAACGGAAGCGACATCTCGATTAGGATTTAGTACTAGCAGCGATGACAATTTTTGGGCTCAGAATCTGACGCATCCGCCCATATAAGTTGACCCTCCTTATCTCTATTCTTCATGGACTTAATGGACATCCCTGCCTTACTCCCCTTCCTGTCCAAAATCTCTCTCCCTCCTTTCCCTCCACCCTTATTCTCCCCACCGTTTCCCTCAACACCTCTTCACATCTTTCCACCAACCCTTCCCTTACTCCCTTTTTCGTCCATGTACTCTCCACTAATATATCCCTATCTACTGAGTCAGATGCTGCCTTCATATCCAGAAACAGTACCACCATCCCTCCTTTCTTCTCCGCCGTCTTCCTATTTATCATATAATTCAACCCATATATCTGATCGATAGTTCCCCTCCCCTCCCTAAAACCTGCCTGACTCGGTGGTAATATCCCCTTCCTCTCCACCTCCTCCCTCAGTCTCTTTGCCAATACCGTTGCATACACTTTATATGCCAGTTGCGTTAAAGTCACCCCCCCTATATTCTTCTACCTTTTTTCCCCTCCCTTTTTTCAATACTGGTACTATTACCCCCTCACTCCATTCTATCGGCCATCCCTCCCCTTTCCACACCCTATTACATATCTTCCATAGCCATTTTCCTACCTCTTCTCCTCCATATTTCCATACTTCCATATTTCCATATTTGTATATATGTCCATTTTATATGCCATTTCAATAATATCCTATGACGCAAACTGTCGTTCGTTTTCTTTCAATATGGTGGTATCAAAAATAGGCAGCATTTATTGACCATGTCTGGCAAGTTTGATACAGTTGATAGTCGCAACGTTTCGACCACAGTTTTTGGTCCTTATCAAGCGATCTGAAAATTACATCTGTGTTTGTACAAGAGTTTTACCATCAGTAGTGTGATGGAACTAATCGAGAGAGAGAATCGGTGATTTAACAAAAAACGAAATATGAAGAAGACATGAAATAAAATGTTATAAATGTCAAGTTAGCACATGGTGTTGCATTTTCGTATTAAACATTAGGTTTGGATGAAGCGTATGACGTATTAAATTAAATTAGAACTTACAATCATGTGCGGTTAGTCGGTGTGTGTAAGAGAGAGCGTGGAGTTGGTTTCTCGAGACTCCGAGCATGACTAAGAGATTCCGAGATGTTTTGGAAGGTTGAGAGAGTTAAAAGTAGGGAAAAGTCAAGATGTAATAAATAAATAAGTAACAGGTCAAGAGTGAAAAATAGCTAAGGAATTAAATATAGTTTTAAGTTAGAGAAATAATGTGGTCATATTTAGAGTTTAAATTTTCTGTGTCATTTTGTAAATTGATGGTATTGTCCGTTTTTTTAATGTAAAACATCTCGGCGATCTCTCTTCTCCTTGTGTTTCTCTCGTGTTAATATTTTTGGAGATGGCCAATGGAAATCATGCTCATGAGTGATGCGATGTTTGCTGACTACGGAGTGGTTGGATTCTATCTTCTTTATGTCTTTAACGTGTTCGTTTATGCGAGTTTTGAGATGTCGTTTAGTTCGCCCAATATAGGCCGCGTCGCAATTTTTACAGTCAATATTGTATACAATTTCCACTTTTTGTTCTTTCTTTAATGTGTCTTTTTCTTTCTTTATGAGGCAATTTAATTTTTTGGGTACTGTCAACAAGGTACAGAGGCTGAATTCTCTGAGCTTGTGTGCTACGTTGTCGCTTACGTGTTTAATGTATTTGTTCAAGCACCGTCGCTCGGGCTGCCGCTCGTCGCCGAAAAACACCGATCGTGTGGCGCACCGAGTCAGCTGTGCCGCGATCACGTCGTTATCACGTGTCGCGCGAGCGCCAGCGGCACAGCTGATTCGCAGCCGTTTCGCCGAATCCGAGGCTCGGTTCGGGGAACTCTCGCTTCTAGTCGCGATCGATTATAGAAAGTCTGTCGCTGTCAAGCAGGAAGAGATCTCGGTTGCAAGTCGGTTCTCTCTTGAATCCTCAGATAGTGAGCTCATCTCTCTACGGTCGTTGCATCGGGGAAATAAAACGATCTAAATTCATCCGCGCGCGAATTTGGTTTCTGCGTAAAGTTCTACCGCGTCTCAGCTGCGTTGAACGCGTCGAGCGGAATTACCGTCGCCGGAGTTCGCTACTTTGTGTCGGTCGGACAAGGATCCAGCGCGTTTCCTTGTCCTCATCCGTTCCAGCATTTCTGCAAAAGTATTGTCGTCACTAAATGTTCATCTCAACTTATTACTGTTCTCTTGTATCGTTTATTAATAAAGTCAGGGGAGGTTGTCGATGATGAGTGATCTGAAGAATATCTCGAAGATCGTCTTCACTTGAATCTACAAATTCTGAGTCAACTTCGACTAAATTGGTGTCG